CCAGATTTCCTAAATCCGCCCCTGCTCTGTGTTCCAGGTGTACCGCTTCCTGCCCGGCTTCGACTGGTTCTTCTTGGACGCCATCTCTGCCAACAACATCCGCTTCGCCAGCGATGAGAAGTAAGTCTGCTCACTTCCTGTTTCAGGGAGAGACCAGGGATTGTCCCGCCCATCAGAACCTCCAGGACCTCCTCCTCATCAGAACCACAGCGTTCCAGGCTCCTTCAGAGCAGAACGTTCTGACCCGATAATATTTCAGTGAAACAATCTGAGGATCCACTCTGATGGATCTAAGAAGGTTAAATGAGCTCAATCAGCTTCTGTTGAACCAAAATATCAGATTTTAAGAACTTTGTTTCAATTATTTATTTGCATGTTGAGGTTCTGAACATCACAGGAGCTTTAACCTGCTGGTTCTGATCCAGTTAGCATCCTGTCAAACCTTCAGAACCAGCTGCCGGACGTTTAACCCAGTAGCCCCTGGTGGCTGCAGACGGAACTGCAGCTTCTAATGATTGTGTTTTTCAGTGTGGACCACATCTCCTGTCCGGTTCTGATCCTCCACGCTGAGGACGACAGCGTGGTTCCGTTCCACCTCGGGAAAAAGGTACGGGGCAAACCGTTCCCGGGTCAGAACTTAAACCCCCATTTGGCCCAAACGGGCCCGGTTCTGAGTCCTTTTCTCTGCCGTCCTGCAGCTCTACCACCTGGCGTCTCGGTCCCAGAGCCTCAGCGGACATAAAGTCCAGTTCGTGGCGTTTCCTTCGTCACTCGCCTACAAACATAAATTCATCTACAGGAGCCCGGAGCTGCCGAACATCCTCAGGTAGGAGCCGAGCTACGCCGGAGGTTCCGGTCCATCCGACCCCCCCACCTCTAACCGCTGTTCTGTTTGCAGTGACTTCCTCGGGGCGGCTCATCCTGTGGCGCCGTGAAATCGGACCGGCGTTCGCATCATCAGAACTGTTTATCACGGACTGAACATTCCTTTGCTACCATTCCCAGATCCCCTCCTGGTTACCATGGTGACCATGAACAGATGTGATGCTGAGGACGGTCGCTCTGCATCATCTTCATCACCTGCATGGTTTCTTCTTCTGATCACATGACCCGCCCGTCTGCAGGTCCACTCTGTCCGGAAACCTGCTGCTTTCAAACCTGTTTGACTTGAATTCAATATTAAAAGTTTGTTTTATGTAAACCTGCCTGAACTGTGGGTGACCAGCAGGGGGCGCCAGGAGCTGAATGGACCGGTTCCAGTTGAACCACAACAGAACCGAACTGAAGCGCCGGGATACCGGATCAACGCCCTGAACGGACTCAATTACCCAGAAGGCATCTGTGATTTCCCCCTGAGAGCAACAGGCAGCTCTGCTCCTGATGATGGAGAAAGTTCTGGAAACATAGAAAAGATGCTGCCGGTTCTGCTCCTCTGGGCCCGTTTCAGGTGTTTGTTTCTGCTGAAATCCAGGATGTTTGGATCAGAACAGGAGGCCTGATCAATCAAAGGCAGAACACATGATCCTCTGATCCTCACGGAGAACTTTACTCTGCAGCAGGACTCAATAATTATGACATTTAATGGTTAATAAAACATGATTAACACAAAAGCTTCCTACTGGAAAATAAAGTTTAAGATTAATTAACAGAAAATGAAAGTTTGAGCTTCTACAGTGTATGTTCCTGTTTCGCTGTGAGGACAGTCTGCTGGAGCTCGCTTCCTTTATGCCAACAGCTTCAGATCTCTGGTCAGTGACTTAGAGCAGAGAAAGGGTTAAAATCAGTGGGTGGTCCTCACTATATATGGAAAACAAAGGAGTTTGTTTTTAACCAAAAGATGATTAATAAGCAGGAAGTTGAGCCGCGGTTCTGAATACAGTGAAGGAAATAAGTGTTAGAAATCATGGAGGGTCTGATATAATCATCATAGAGTCATAATCTACAAATCCAGAAATCACAATATATGATTTATTAACTATTTATTTGTATGATTCAGCTGCAAATTAGTATTTGAACACCTGAGAAAATTAATGTTAATATTTGGGACAGTTATGATACTTTAAGATGTTTATTCTCCTCCCCAGCAGGGGTGATAAATATCTTATTATTTCAGCTGTTATATACTGTTTATGACACACAGTCCTACTAACTGTGTGTTAGAACAATAGATGAAAGAGTGATTCGAGCACTAATCATGGTCAAACAGTTATTTCTGCGCATTAATGGAATAAATTCACCACAACTTCTGTTCAAAATATAAGAGTTTAGTAAGTCAACATATTTCAGTTTAAAACTCTTAACTAAGAGTAGTTAAACTGAACTAAACTAACTACTAAGTACAAAGAGGAAGGGGAAAACGGTTGAAAACCATTTTACAGTTTAAAATGGTTTATGTGTTTGAAACCAAAGTTTATCTGGAAGAATTTGGGATGTGATCAAATTAGCTTTTCACTAATCTTAAAGAAATTGGAATGTTTTCACACCAATTCACAATGCAAATCCATGAGGTGAATAAAACATTATTAATGTTTTATTAAATGTTTTGCTTAATCAAGAACCAAAAACCTTTAGTTAAATAATTCTTTACCCTCTTTAGCTAGCAGCTAATAGACATCAGGATTCCACTAAATGACTCTTGGTCAGACTTGCTAATTGAAATGTAAAGAGCATCTGAGGAACATATGAACACTAATGTTAAATCAGTCTTTAACCGCTTAGTGAATAAAGCTTGTCTAAGCTTTAGCAACAGCTCAACACGTATTCCTGTAGCATAGCGTAGCATGCAGTCCATCCTGTTAGCTTATCTTTACTCATCAGTAAACACGTTTGTTCTGTCCAGATCTGCAAACCTTTTCTCCATGTCCAGTTGGAAAGCTTGAGTTCCATCCAGCTTTTAGAGAGCAGCAGCCCTGTGGAACAGAACTTCACCTTCTACTCATTGTTAAGATGAAACATGGACATTTGCCCCCAATGTCCAAGACTTAATCATGGTTTATGTCCCAAGAGTCCAGTAGCCTTTGTTTGAAATTCCAGAGGTCAAACGTTTCCTGTAGATTTTCACCAGGTTTGCACTGCAGGAGGGATTTTGGCCCACTCCTCCTCACAGATCTTCTCTAGATCAGTCAGGTTTCTGGGCTTCCACTCCCTCCAAAGATTGTCTATTGGGTTTAGGTCTGGAGACTGGCTAGGCCGCACCAGAACCTAGATCTGCTTCTTCCAGAGCCGCTCCTTGGTTATCCTGGCTGTGTGCTTCGGCTCATTGTGATGCTGGAAGACCCAGCCTCCACCCATCTTCACTGCTCTGACTGAGGGAAGGAGAATGTTCCCTAGAATCTACCAATACATGGCACCGCTCATCTTCTCCTTAATACAGAGCACTCGCCCTGTCCCATGTGCTGAAAAACACCCCCAAGCATGATGCTACCACCCCCATGCTTCACAGTAGGGATGGTGTTCTTGGGATGGTTCTCATCATTATTCTTCCTCCAAACATGGTTAGTGGAATTCTGACCATAAAGTTCTATTTTGGTCTCATCTGATCACATAACTTTCTCCCATGACTCCTCTGGATCATCCAGATGCTCGTTACCTGAAGACGGCCATGACATGAGCTGCTTTATGCAGGGAAACCTTCTATGCATGATTTCAAACCATGACGTCTTAGTGTGTTTACATCAGTAACCATGGAAACAGCGGTCCCAGCTCCTCCCATGTAGTTCTGGGCTGATTTCTCACCTTTCTTAGGATCACTGTGCCCCCACCAGGTGAGATCTTGCATGGAGCTCCAGTCTGATGGAGATTCACATTCATGTTTAGCTTCTTCCATTTTCTAATGAAGCTCCAACAGTGGAGCTTCTTCCACCAGGCTGCTCGGTTATTTCCCTGCAGACATTTCCAGCCTGGTGGAGGAGGAAAGTTCAGTCTCTGGTGTGTTTGGACAGCTCTTTGGTCTGGGCCCTGTTAGTATTTAGATTCTTACTGATGTGTTTTATGGCGGTTGGTAGTTAAAGTATTTTACTGCCACCAACTGATCAGGAGGTAAACAAGGAAACAGGAAAGAAGACTCACCCTCAGAAAAATAAATATTAGTATGTTTTAACCCAAGTTAATGAAATACCAAATCAAATTCATCCTCATAATTTCTAATTTATCTTTAGGTTATCATCACTCTGCCAGTCTCTAATGGTCCTACTGGTTTTCCCATCATCTTTTCAAGCGTTTCCCAGTTTAAATCTCTCACTTCAAGGTACGTTTCTGCAGCTTTCAGTATTATTTTAATTTTTTTGTTATCTGAGCACTATAGTTGGTGACTTCTACCATAAAAAGTATTCAATCTTTCTTATTGGTTCCTCTGCAGTGCTGCGTTTCTCCTCCAGAGGTTTAAATTTATCATTTCCTGAACTGCTGGTTTGGGTTTTTCTGACTGGGATTAGATTCTTTTTGCAGCTTCAGCAGAACTTATTCTGATCTTTTGCTCACTTCACATCCTCCATAAGCAGCAGAATGTTCTCCACCACAGTTACAGCATTTAATCTTTACTTCTTTCCCACATTTTCCATATCCCTGCTCTCCAGCAGACCTTCCACATCATTGTTTTCCTTTCATCTAGCTGCTGTATGTCAGAATGTTTGGCATGTAAAACATGTCAGGATCGGACAGTTTCACACTGAAGCTCATATATCCAAGGAAAACCTTTCTGGATTACTGCTCTTCTTCCAGTTTGATCAACACTGATGAGCTGTTGCAGCTTTCTCTATTTCTTGTTTTTTTTTAACCGTTTCACCTTTTTTCACTTTTGCACCACTTATGATTTCTAGAACTCCTCCTATCACTCCTTCTTTTGTTCTCCTCCAACTTGTTGATCCATCTAGCTTTGTCTTGCTGAGGCTCTGCAGTTTATTGACTAAAGTCCCACCATGCAGGATTTTGGTAATTTGGATGTTTTTGTTAACTGCAAAAGAGTCTCACTGATTAACTAGTTTGAATAAGACTTTGTGATCATTTAGTTTTTCTAGATTCATTTAGAATTTCTAGATTGTTCTGAACTGGACTCCCCTTCAGTCGGTCTCTGCTTTTTCCATTTTTTGATTCGACTCTATTCCAATCTTCTTTGTTTACACTATTTTAGGGATTAAAGCAAAAAAAAAAAACTAAAAATAATTCTGAGCTTGAAATTTTTCAACACAGGAAAGATGCCGGGGGGAGGGGGACCACAGATTGCATGAATGATTGAAGACTAAATGAGAATTTTGAAAATCCAATCCCACAAATGGCCAGTAGATGGCAGAAGTGCATCTCTATCCACCGCTTGCATGAACCACATTTCTTTGGATATCCAGTTTTGCTGCTGAGCGTTCCTGGAGCGCAGCAAGCAGCAGCAATCTCCTGGTTGACCGAACTTCCTGCTCCAGCTGCTAAAAGCCATCTGGCTCCGTCTCCTCCAGCCACGCCCAGCGCCATTTACCTATCAGAGCTTTATCTATGGCGGTGGCATCTTCCCCAGAGTTCATGAACTGCATGGTTCCCAGTCCATGCCGTTCCGTTTCATTTCTTTATTTTTTTTACTTTTAACTCGTCTCTCTGTTGAATGGAGTCTAAACGGCGTAAAGTGACTTTCCTTTCAGCACTGAACCACAATCTGGCAACTGGAGCAAGAAACAAGTGGAGGAGGGACTGATCTGTGATCCATGAGAAATGGAGGAATCTCATTTATTTATTTCTTTAAAACCAACGTTTAAAAAAATTCAACCAAAGTATTAAAGAGGATTTCTGAAGGTTCTGGTCTGGAGACGGAACGGTTCTGATCCAAGATCAGACCTGATTGGACTGACCTGGTGTCTGAGCTCAACCACCATCAGATCCAGAACCTGCTCTGGGTTCTGATTGGACAGCAGGGTCCTGGAGGAGTCCAAAATGTTCTGGAAGGTTCTGATGGAAGCGGGTCTGAGGACATCAGCTTCATGAAACGGACCGGTTCTGGAACCGGAGAGCCCATCGGACCCGACAGAAGTTCTGCTTCCACAGAATAGAAGCTAAAAACTTTCTACAAACAACAACAAAAAAACTTTTATTCAAACTGGATCAGAACCTTTTCTCTTATTCTGCAGGCTGACCCGGTTCTGAAAGGATCAGAACCTCCTGGTCTGGATCAAACCCACGGTCCTGCTGAAGCTGCCTGATCCCTAAAACTGTTTCCGGAACCAGAGGTCCGGGTCCTTGCAGAACAACCCGGGCCCGGTTCTTCAGTTCTGAGACCCGACAGGCGGCTGGTTGGGGGGCGGGATCTTAAAGGCTGACGGTTCTACGCCCCAGATCTCCCGGGCGTACTGGGAGATGGTTCTGTCGCTGGAGAACTTCCCCGAGGCGGCGATGTTCCTGATCACCATCCGGGTCCATTCTCTGGGGTTCTGCAGGAGAGAGACGCGGGTCAGAGCAGAACTTTGGGTCCAGTTAACGGTGGAGGAGTCGGGCTCACCATGTAGAACCGCTCCACTTTCTGCTGACTCCTCAGGTAGGACTCATAGTCGGCAAACACCTTGAACCTGCAGAGCAGACGGAACCTCAGAACCAGAACCAGAACCAGAACCCCCCTCAGAAGCTCCCTCTCACCTGTCGTGGTGCAGCAGCATCTCCATCACTCCATGGAACAGTTCTGGTTCTGCTGGACTGAAGAACCCGGTCCGGATCTGGTCCACCGCCAGTTTCAGCTCCGGCAGACGGTTGTAGAACTCTGAGGCGTCGTAGCTGCAGGAAACAGGAAGTGATGTCATTTATTAGCGGCAGGTGTTCTGATCCAGACCGGTTCTGTGTTAAGGAACCGTCTGGTCCGGTAAATAAAGGTCCGGTTCTGGATCAGTTTTAATCTGAAGGATTCTGGTTCTGATCCAGAAGGACGGATCAAAGCTGCAGTTTCAGATTGCCCCTGAAGGCAGCGCCGCCTCACCCTCTCCGGTCCAGCTCCTTCACGTCCTCCACCCTCATCCCGAAGATGAAGAGGTTCTCCTCGCCGGCCTCCTGCGCCATCTCCACGTTGGCGCCGTCCATGGTGCCGATGGTCAGGGCGCCGTTCAGCATGAACTTCATGTTTCCTGTTCCTGATGCTTCGGTTCCAGCGGTGGAGATCTGCTCCGACAGGTCAGCAGCGGGGATCACTGCGGGGAGAGCAGCCGGTCAGGCGGCGAATCCGTGGGAACGGGTCCTAAGGTGGACGTCATGAGGCTCACCTCGCTCTGCCAGAGACACCCTGTAGTTCTCCAAGAAGATCAGCTTCAGCTTGTCTCCCACCGCCGGGTCGTTATTGACCACCTCGCCCACCGCAGTGATCAGCTTGATGATCATCTTGGCCATGTGGTACCCAGGAGCCGCCTGCAGGGGGCAGAGCAGCCGATTTAACACCTGACCTGACGGAGCGGCTCGCTCACAGGGGGCGGAGTCACAGGTTTCACCTTCCCTCCGATGATCACCGTCCTGGGAACGAACGCTCGGTCCGGATGGAGCTTGATTCCTGGAGGCAGAGAGCAGCAGTGAGGCAGTGAGTCCAGCAGGGGGCAGCAGACAAACACCAGGTATAATGTTTCCCAACGGAAGCTAAATTTCCCCGATCCGATCTAAACCTCTGTTTCCATGGAAACCAACTAAATCGATCTGATCGTGACGTTTGTTCATTTGAACGAAGCGTTTGACCAGATTCAAGATTTTTATGAGCAGAACTGGAGACGCTTTATTAGCAGCAGAAGAAGAAGAAGAAGGCGTCTGTTCCGTAAACAAACCCGAACGTCTCCGCTCCTCATTTCTTCCTGCTCCTCCTCTTTCTTTCCCTTCGGTTCTCCAGTCCTGCTGATGTCATTTCCTCCTTCGCATCATTTTAGTTTAGCGGTACCGTATGCTAACGCTCCTTAGCTACAGGGTATTATTTTAGTAACTTCGCTAACATGAGCAGGAGACGATTTTACTCCAACATCTGAAAGGGAGGCAGGCGGACGCCTCAGAAAAACACGTCTCGCCATCTGTGGGAATTCTTCTTTCCGATCGGAATAAATCGGATTAGAAGCTTCGGTCCAACGTTTCATCAAACATTCTATGCCATTCTCTGTCTCCATGGAAACGTAGCTAGTGAGACCAGAATCCCTTCAAAAGGTTTGGAAAGGAGCGTTTCCATTAGGCACAGAGGGGGAGGAGTCATGCTATGGGGTGATGGATTCTTCACAAGGAAACAAGCATCTGGAAGAAACTGAAGAAACATCTTAACAACGTTTGGACAGAACTGGGTCGTCTGAGAGGACAACGTGTCTCAGCTGGAAGGATGGCGGACGACTGGGTCCAAGTTCTGGACAGACCCAGTTACTGGTTCTGTCTGGAGGACGATTTCCAGAAGCTACTGGAAGAAGCTCAGAAGTTCTGACCCGAGTTCAAAGATGGTTCTACAGAGAAACATCTGAACAGAACCAGGAGAACCTTCCTCTGATTTAACGTCAGACCTGAACCAGACGCTCTGATGTTCTTAAGAATTAGAGACCGTCCAGCAGGTTCTGGTTCTGTGGACTCTCTGGTTCTGTGGACTCTCTGGTTCTGGGGACTCTCTGGTTCTGGGGACTCTTACGGTTGTAGAGCGTGATGACGTGGAGACAGTTGAGCAGCTGCCGTTTGTACTCATGGATCCGTTTGACCTGGACGTCAAAGATGGACTCTGGGTTGATCTTCAGCTGGTGGCGCTTCTGGAGGAACGAGGAGAACTTCAGCTTGTTCTCCTGTAGGGAGGACAGAGGGACAATCAGAGGACAGAGGGACAATCAGAGGACAGAGGGACGATCAGAGGACAGTCAGAGGACAGAGAGACGGTCAGAGAACAGGGGGGCGGACAGAGGACAAGGGGACACTTATAGGACAGAGGGACGGTCACAGGACAAAGGGATTGTCAGAGGTCATGGAGGCAGTCAGGGTCATGGAGGCGGTCAGAGGACATGGAGGCGGTCAGAGGACAAGGGGACGGACAGGTT